GCCTTTTCATGAGGCGTCTGGAACACCCAGTCCCCAACTGCAGCTTGAACTATTGCCTGGGCTTCAATGCCTGCCTTGTGCTAGTGTGGGGAGCAGACATGCACTGGTGCTGATGAGGTGGTCCAGGCAGGAGTCTTTGAATTGCTCTCAGGATGTCCTGGGCGCCTACTGTACAGTATCTGATGCCACCAGATTGGTGTCTCTGCAAGTGCAATGTTAACACAACACGGAATGCCTTGTGCGGTGTGACCTGCTGTTGGGATGGATCTTTGATGTCCTCTCTCAGGCCAGACACAAGCAATGTGGCTGATGCTGAGGCTTGGGATGGTTGAGAGGTTGGGGTGGAGGTTGGCTGTAGAGTCAGTAGTCAATTGACAAAGATGTTGAGCCCCTGCATGTGCAGGCAATGCTCTTGGAGCTGGGGACATAGCCGTGAACACAACAGATGGAAACCCCTGCCCTCATCAAGTATATGTTCTAGTGGCATGGTACGAGGGGAAGGAAATAATCCTTAGGTCCTAGGGTCCAGAGGGAACAGCCAAGGCCATATCTAAGTGGTAAATATAGGAGGGGAGAAATTTCCAAAGTGGTAACACCTGTTTAGCAGTATAGGCACAATGCATGGCACCTGTGTTGTCCCTCCCCAGAGTTCAAGACAGACATTACTAATCAATCCTGGCATGCTTTCCCACTCAGCCCCACTTCCTCAGCACAGCATTCTAAACAGCCACTATAATAGATCCCCTTTGTTGTGGGAGTGGGAACTTCCCTGGGCCCACAAAATAGTGTCTGACTGCTGGCACTCCTGCTGCCAGTGCAAATATGTTGAGAAGCAAAGGATCACGGGAATATGGACTGGGATGGACAGAGAGCAGGCTGCAGGCACATGAGCCAGGCTCCAGCATCCAAGATTTAGGCACAGTCAGGAGGATGAAGCCAGTGGTGGAAGTGAAACAGGTGGGGTATGATTTTTGCACAGATGGACCTTGAGGTCGTAACAGCTGATCCTAGGGCTGAGGCCATCTGTCTGTCTGCCCTCTGCCCCAATTTATGCATCTTGGCTAATGTGAGCAATTAGTGTCTGGCCAGATGTGTGCTGCCACGGAGACAGAGACGCCTCCATAGGTGCTGGTGCTAGTGATGGCAGGGTCCCAGGCAGAGGCAGGGGCCTCCAGAGGATACTGCCATCTCTAAGACCTGCTCAGCCAGCAAAGCCAACCCAGGCTGGAGCAGAAGCCCTGGACAGGAGGAGGGATCCTTTGCTATGATGCCAGTGTCCCTTAATCTACCTGATGGCATTTTCCTTTAACACCAGGTGCCAGGCATAGGAGGCTCTTGGGTGTTAGAATAAACAAGTGCATGCAGACTCTCAGGGCACAGCTTGACATGCACCAGGACTTTCTTGAGACTTGGCGTTGAGGGAGGGGAGCAGAGTTTCCTAAGCTGCTATCATCAGGAACGCCACTCTTAGAGCTGTGTCACTAGAAAGAGTTCCATGGGAAATATTGGGTGAAACAAAAAGCCAAATGGTCTCTTTATTTTGGGTCTTCTCAGAGCCTAAGCTATGCTAAAATGCTTAGACTGAATATTTAGGATGAGGACACAGCAAGCAGCATTTCCCAAGCTTGGAGACATTCACCCTTGGAGACATTCATCTGAGAGATTTCTATCAGTGTCTCCTAGGGCTAGTGTTCCACAGAACCCAGATGTAGAGAATGCCTTCCAGAGGTGCCCATGCTGCCCACCACTGCACTGCAGTGCAAGCTCTCTGCTGTCTGGTTCCTCCAAAGTTCCTGCACATTCCTGCCTCCACGCACTGCTTGGGTGGACCTGCCCCAGAAATGCCCTTTCTCTAACCTCCACCTTTGCACATGCCATCCAGTCCAAGTCCCACCCACTCCACAAAGGCTTTCACAGCGCCCCCAGTGGGACTTAATCCCTTGCGGCTTTGAGCATCTTCAAGTGCACTGCAGCTGATGGCATTTTGCACGGCCCAGGCCAGGGCAGGTGGTGCGCCAAGAATGCTCAGTTTGGGCTGTGGCCTGTGGGTGGCCACGTGGGCTGACAACACCATGTCTGCAGGTGTGAGAGGTACGCCTCCTGGGCACTTTTCTTCCCTTTATCCCCCCTGCCCAGTTCATCAGGGGTAAAGCAGCCATGGTGCCCAATAAGGAAAGAAAATTTTCCACCTCTGCAACTTCCTCTGCTCTCTAATATGTAGAGAGCTGGACCAGAGGGAAGAGAACCAGCAGATCTATTTACATGGACTCTTCCCCTGAAGTGAAACCAGGGGCATTTTCTTATTTAATTATTAATGCCCTAAATCAGATGGTGCCCAATATGTTAACCTCTGTCACTCCAAATGGAGTCGGCCTAATAACCACTGCAGCAGGATTGATTTTCCCTCAGTCATCTCATAAGCATATGTCTTTGGGATCTGTCCTCAGAGAGATCCCAGGAAAGTCCCATTAAAGTTAATGGGGATGAGTTGCCCCCATGTGGTGACGGTTCCTTTCTTCACTGCGCCTGAGTGAAGTGAGACAAGGAGAATTCCCTTCCTTCCTTCCTTCCTTCCTTCCTTCCTTCCTTCCTTCCTTCCTTCCTTCCTTCCTTCCTTCCTTCCTTCCTTCCTTCCTTCCTTCCTTCCTTCCTTCCTTCCTCCCTCCCTCCCTCCCTCTCTCTCTTTCTTTCTTTCTTTTCTTCTTTTTTCTTTTCTTTCTTTCTTCCCCCCTTCCTTTCTCCTTCCTTCCTTCCTTCCTTCCTTCCTTCCTTCCTTCCTTCCTTCCTTCCTTCTTTTCGTTCTTTTCTCTCTCTCTCTCTCCATGAGGATTTTAAAATCTCACAGATTACAGCAGTGATCCAAGTTACCTCTCTCTCCCAACACATGGGTCAAAAGGGAGCAGAGAAACAATCTTCTCTTATCCAGGTGGCCTCATCTTTTGATACTCTTGGTGTAATGAGTTTGAAGACGCTGTCAGGAGGTTCTCTCGGGAGAATGCTGGAGATTATAGGAGTGGCCCAAGTAATGAGTCAGGGCCACAGAGAGAATTAAGACAAGGCAGGGCATCCCCTACAGCTGGCATTCAGACTCCATGCCTTCTGGAGCTCTGTGTCCCATTTTTTATTTCTTTATTTGATGCCTGATTGGCCCAAACTCCACTTGGAAGAAGATGCTTGTTCCACTTTTCACTCTCCGCATATGTCAATGCCATGTCCTAGGCAGGCTCTTTCTCCGCTCTAGGTTGAATCTCCCAGAGGAGAATGAATTGAAATGATCGCTGAGCTCTGCAGCCCTGGTGTTGCACAGACTCCAGTTTGTGTGGAGACTTCTGAGGCGCTGATTGGGTCTCTGGGGATGGGGGAGTGGGCTGGGGGGAGTGGGTGGGGAGCTCTGAGCAGCTACTTGTGCTTTGCATACTCCTGGACTCTGCACATGGAACAGAAACACCAGAATCGCTCCTCTCTTTCTGATTTTCAGAATGCATTCATTTGAAATCTGGCTAAATCTGCATTTCAGTCAGATGGTTTCCAGATCTCAAATAGAAACACCTCATTAATCATTAATTTAGACCCCCACGGTTATACAGAATTTGTGACAATTTGTTTATCTTTGAAGGAGCTGCTGAGAAAGAGTTTAACAAGGAAATTATTGTGGAGGGGAGGAGAATGTTTAACCTTTCAGAAGAGCACTCCATTTAGCTTCCCTGAGGGTACAAATGGGGGTGTGTGCAAAATACATGCCGGCTTTTATCTGTTCTCCTAAGTAGAGTGAGCGCTTCCTCATCTGCGAACTCAGGGCCCAGTGGGATAGATCCCCAACCATTTCAAGCCTGCGACCCCTTTCCAATGTCAAAATATTTTCTATAACACCCCCACCCCCAGTTATTAGAAGTTGCAATTTTTAGTGTTGCTGATTAAGAAGAAAAGCTACTCTGAATTCAGTAAAGCTTTTAAATAAATCATGATAGCATCTACATACACATGAAAAATAGTTCCATCTTTCTGAGTCACAGCGTTCATTCAGCCTACAGATGATGTTTGGGTGCTCATGATTTCCAGCTCCTCCGCACCCTTCAAGGTCAGCGACCCAGCAGGTTACAACCCTTGGAACAGAAGTTCTCTGAGGCAGGAGGAACACAGAGTCCTGGAGTGCCCGGACAGGAAGGAACCTCAGGAGGCATTTCAGCCACTCCCACTAGAAAGGTTGTCTGCCCTCTGTGAGGAGCCCCTTGTTGGGGATCCCTAGTTTAGTGAAGCAAAGGAGTTGGCATCCCATGTAGGCACATACCTGCCATAGCTGCCACCTCAGGGGCCTGGATCAAAGTCTGCAAACTGATTCCTTATGGTCCCTTACCAGGTGGTCTAGGCCCAGCATCCCACAGTGGGAATGGCATGTGATGACTGCATCACTCTGGGCAGAAGTAGCTGACACCCCACAGGAGACAGAAGAAGCAAGGGCCAGTCTTCCGTGGCTTGTGGGCCGAGAGTTCAGGGTTTTCTTGGCTCATTCACCCCCAGGTCCACACCAGACATCTTTTTTCCCTTTCTTCTTGGCAGGAGGGAGTAGGGAAAGGAAGTAGACGGGCAAAGAATGTCAATGATGAGGGATAAGGGAACGGGGAGGGCATTCCCTTTAAAGCAGTTCAGATCTGGGGTCCCTGGGTCCAAGGATGGGCCCGGGGGCCTGAGGACACCCTGCAATTATAGCCAATTTTGCACTTGTGGGCATTTTTCTGGGGAGAGCATCTATACCTTTCCCTGGATTCTCAGAGCAGTCCCCGAGTCAGAAAACGTTCAGAACCCCTGGCCTGGAATTTGGACTTTTCCCTGACTCAGGCTTCCCACTCTCCTGTTACTCAGAACCGGTGAACTGTTACGGTGTTAGTCAAACCCTGCAATGTGCAATATCAAATGCTCATTACCCACGACGATGGGAAACTAAGTAGATGCCAGGAACACGGTCTGATCACAGACGCAGCCTCCTTTGTTCTCTCGTGCAGGGTCCGCGATGGCGCTCTCCCTGACGGGGCTCGTTGCCTTCTCCTTCCTGCAAGCCACCCTTGCCCTGAACCCTGAGGACCCCAACGTGTGCAGCCACTGGGAGAGGTAAGGCGTGGGCCTCAGATGGCCAGGCACTCTCTGGGGGATCGCCCTGGGCATGGCAGTAAGGGACAGAGGCAGTCAGGAGATCCGGGAGCTGCCTTCTAAGGGTCTGCAACCTGGCTGGGGAGATGGCCCAGATGCGGAGAGACAGGACAGAGCAGTAGAGATTCTGTCTGGAAGGTCAGGGTGGAGGCAACTTACATGAACTGCAGTTACGACGCACTGTCCTACCCCTCCCTGCACTGGCGCTTCCCAGCCATTGCACAGATGAGAAAGTAGAGACCCAGAGGGGCTCAGCCCCTGTCCACAGCCAGATAGGGTGCAGTAAGTGGGGAGATGCAGACCATGGTCCCAGGTGGCATGCTCTCTGATGCTGTGATGCCTTTCCTGGTCTCCCAGGACTGGCAGCCACGTGGCAGCTTGGATATGTGGCCCCAGCAGCCTGCCTTGAGGAGGACGGGTGAGGGGGTCCTATTACTTCTGGTCCGGTGGGAGCTGGGTGTTGCTGGGGGAGGGCGGCCGAGGCTGCAGTGGAAGAGCAGGCTGCATTCCAGCTGCGGCACTAGGTCCTGGGGGAACAGGCCGGGTCCCTGCAGATGGCCTGACTTTGAAACACAAGGTTAAAGTATTGATTTTGGTGAGCAGAAAGATAGTGACCAGAGACCCAATCAGGAAAAACCGAATTAAACCCTGGAATTGATTGGCCATGCTGACCAGGACGACTCTGCCACTTAGATGTTAATAAATCAAATGAATAAAATTAAGATGAGGGCCCTATGGGAGAAGTGAATGGTAGAGGAAGAAAAGTGGGGGACTTGGAGGGGGTCAATGCTTCATGCCCATGAGGGTGGATAGCCCAGCCCTAGGGCGGGGAAAGGCACCTCAGCCAGGCAGGACCTGGCTCTGGGGTAGCCTGGACACTTGCGGGTCAGGAAGGATCAGCTGGGGGGCAGAGGGACAGTGTCTGCACTTGTGTGATCCATGGGGACCAGATCCTGTGTGCGGCGTCCCAACAAAGTTGAGGATGGAGCAAAAGGCAGTACTGTGGTGTGCCCGTTTTTGGTGAAGTGGGAAGAAAACAAGATCCGTGATGAGAAGACCTCAGTTCATTCCGATCTGGATTTTTCCACCTATAAGCTGTGTGACTCTGGGGAGGTCTCTGAACGGCTCTGCGCCTACTTCCACCTCTGTAAAGTGGGGAGAAGCATTATCCTTGCCTCACAGGCTCATTGGAGGACCAAGGGCAGCAGTTCCACGAAAGTGCTTTGAGGACCACAAGTGTCAGTTGCTGTCTTTTCTTGTTGACAACTGTGGCTTTGCAGGAACTGGTTATCATGGACTTTAGTGCACATCAGACTCATGGGAGGTGCATATGAAAAAGTCTCCTGGGGCCTATCCCCGAGATGCTGATTCAATAGTGCATTTTTCATAAGCATTCTACGTGATTCTGAGGTTACTCAGGCCCCTTGCCCATTCTGGCTTTGGTGAATTTAAACCTTTATTTCCCGGTGGGTCAGAGAGGTATCGGGAAGAGCCCCACGTTATTCTGTGGGTTTTGGACTCCAGCCTCAGAGGACCCCTTTCATCCCTCTGGTCCTGTTAAGACACAGCTGCTTCCTGCTACTGTCTGTGCTGCATCACAGCCTCTTGAGTGCCTCCTTTGCAGCTGCTCACCTCTGCCTGCCCCAGTGGCTCTATCTGGAGTCCCTCTCTTCCAGGGAGCGTCCCCCACAGGGAGGGCCCCCTCTGACTTCTCTCTCTGTCTGAGCCCCATTTGTACTCACTAATTTTCTACACCTGCCCAACATGAATACATTTGGAATGTGAAAATATTCTGAACTGAGCCGAACTGAGCTGGCATTTCAGGCTTCTTAGGCTATCAGCCAAGGTTACAGCCCGGATAGGAAGACAAGGAGTGAAACCTAACAGCTAGAATGAGATATGGGGACTCTCTGGGCTTCTCCGGCCCCAAGGGGGAAGCCCTGTGGGTGATGCCTGGTGACACCAGGTGCTTTCTTCTTCTCAGTCTTTCCAGCTGAGCTCCGTTGTAAGATGTGTGGATGGATCTAGCCTGTGTTGTTCCCGAAACACACCATGGTCCCTGGAGATCGCTTAGGGAGAATTTCTCAGCTGGATTAGTGCTTCTGGCGGCTCCTCATTAATTATGCCCCTCCACCATAAAACCCAGTGTAACGACCTCTCCCAGCTAGTAAAGCCTGGCTCTCCAAGATTAATCTGGCCCCTCATTAGCATGTTGGCAAATGAGCAGTGTTAAGCCACCCAGCCATGAAACCAGGGGCACACACTTCAGGTCAGAGAACCTGGAGTTGGTACAAGGCATCGTTGCCAGACTCGTTCAGCCCAGGGCATCCTGCAGAGCCCAGTCCCTGCCCCGTGACTGCCCCCTCCAGCCCCCTGCTGAGCTTCTCTCTGGGCATCCAAGGTCTATGTTATGGCCGAAAAGGGAGGCTGGACCCCCAAGTGCATAACAAAGGTGGGGAATCCATTCTGTGTGCTGGTCTTGCTCCTTCTCTCCCCAACATTGGTCAGGGAGGAAAGATCCCTCGGTGCCTAGCACGAGAGGTGAATCATTGCCTGTCAACATCTATTAAACACTTACTGTTTAAGCATGTTATATGTATAGTGTATCTTGTTTTATTTTCCCACTGCCCTGAGAGATAGAAAATATTACTGCCCTCTTTTAATCCTCACAATAACCACACAACCTGGTTAGACTTACAGGTGAGGAAACAGAGGCTTATATGAGTCAAATAACACATCTAAGGGCATGCTGCTAACAGGCAACAGGCTTCAAACTTGCCCCTTCTCCTGCTGCCACGTTTGGATTCCAGGGCCCATGCACGCTCCCCATTCATCCTCTTGCTCTGAGTGAGGTATTCAGGAGATGTGTTAGAGCAAAGAATCATGCGATCCCAGAGTTGGAAGAGAACTCTGGGTGGCCGGGGTGAGGGGCGAGTTGCTTCAGTTTCCCCAAGCCTGGAGATAAAACAGGGTTTGGGCTGTTTTTTCCTAGATGTGTGCCTCTGAGGCACATCTCAGGTATGCCAGCTAGTGGGGGCACACCAAGAGCCCTCCTTACATCCCCAGTGCTTCAGAGAAACAGAATTTCCCACCATCCAGGCCTCTGAGCATTGTTGACTGCTTCTGGCCTCCTCCTTCTGGATGCCAGACCTTTGACTTTCCAGGCATCAGAGAGCCTACTGTGGACCCACTTGGGGAGCTGGCCTGCCCAGCCCCCTTGCAAGTTAACCAATGCAGTTTCCTCAGGCGAGGCAGACGTGCTTTTACAGCCTGGACCCGGCCATCTGGCCCAGGTCAGTGAGCCTTCTGGGAAAAACACTGAATAATACCAACCTACATAGAAATTAATTCCTTAGATCTCAGCTGAGGTCCTCTCTCCAGCCTGTTTAGGAAACGTGAGTCCTCACTTCAGCATCCTGGCTTGAATGCCATTTCATGCAACCCCCTGCCAGGGGCCGGCAGGTAGAAAGGCTTATTTTGGTTAAGCTGAGATCTGCTTCCCTGTGGCTTCCACCTGCTGGTCCAGGTTTACAGCTAACAGGCAGGATGACAAGAAACCACTTCTATCAGGGACATATCCTCAATGTACCCCCAGCCACACTAGAGGCAGAATAGAGTAGAAGGTAACTGGGGGAGCTTGTGGAAGCCACATATGCCCCCGATGCTCAGTTTCCTAGTCTGTAAAGTGAGAACAATTCCGCCTACCTAAGATTGTGAGGAATAAAATGTATTAAAACACTTGACACAGGGTGCTCAATAAATGTTAGCACCTACTGATACTGCAGTGTGGGCTGGGCAAGTCACTTTTCTCTGAGCCTTAGTTTCTTCCTCTATGAAATGGGGCCACTTACTTCACAGAGTTGCTGCAAAGTCCAGCTTCCAAGCATGCTCTTTGAAAACCATAAAGATATGAACAAACACATAAAGTATTTTTAAACTTGTTGGCTCTGCCTTCCAGAGCCACATAGAAGAAAACTACCCCCTGCTTCTTTATTCATTCTCTGTTAAATGAACAAATGAACTTGAATTTTAGAAAATGATCTGGGCCAAAGGTCCGTAAGGGATATGTCCTGGGGCCAACCTGGGGTCGGGGAGGCTGGAATATGAGGGCATTCAGGGAAGGGGGAGGATAGTTGGGAGTGGGGAGGTCAGAGCCTCCGGACACTTGGCTGTGGAGCTTGGCCTCAGGGCTGTGGGCTCAGATGCCCCGCGGAATATCAGCTCAACTTCCCAAGTGCTAATCATGGCTCCCATCTCCCATCTGGTTCTCAGCTACGCTGTGACTGTCCAGGAATCGTATGCACACCCCTTCGATCAGATCTATTACACACGATGCACAGACATCCTCAACTGGTTCAAGTGCACCAGGCACCGGTGAGTACCTCTCTCAGATGACGGGGCAGGGAAAAGTCACTGGGGTCTCAGGGCTTGCCTCTGTGCAAGATAGAAAAAGGCCATTGGAGCAGATGCTGTCATGCGCCTCCACTCTGAACCATCCACTCAAGCCATCCACCCAAGATGCTCTGCTGATGGCTTCTTTCTGGCCAAAAGAGCTTGTGGGTAGGACAGGCCAGAAGTGCTGGAGAGTTAATGCTTTTGAGGGCGTCCCTCAACCAGGGATGGGGAGATGGGGTGTTGGTAGATAACTACCCCAACTTCCTCACTCTTGGGATGGCAGAAACATCTCTTAGCCACGTTCTACATGTATCCTAGAAGTCTCCAGTTGCCCATAGAAGTAACCTGCTCAATAATACCGTAGATTGGCTGCCTTTACTTCCCTGTCTCACTTTTCTATCCTCCTACCAGTACTTCCTAGGATTGCCTCCAAAATAAACTACTTGTTCTTGAATCCTTTTCTCAGGGTCTGCATTTGGGGGAAAACCCAACCTAAGAGAGTCCCCTGCCCTGAGCAGATGTAGCCCCATATCAGGGCATCCAGCTTGAAGAAGGGAGCGCAGGCTAGAATTCAGCAACCTCACAGCACCTTGGCCAGGCTTCCCTTAGCAGTGCTCAACATGAACAACTGCACATGGCAGTCCTGCACCCTTGTCTGCAGCCCTCCTGCAGATCATATGTTATCATGTCACTCAGGGAAAGGCAAGAGGAAGGAAGAAACAACATGCTTTAAGGGATGACCCTGAGAAAGACACTTCCCAGTGCACTCATCAAACTTAATAATCTGGCCAGGCGTGGTGGCTCATGCCTATAATCCCAGCACTTTGGGAGGCTGAGGTGAGCGGATCACAAGGTCAGGAGATTGAGACCATCCCGGCTAACACGGTGAAACCCTGTCTCTACTAAAACTATAAAAAATTAGGCGTGGTGGTGGGTGCCTGTAGTCCCAGCTGCTAGGGAGGCTGAGGCAGGAGAATGGCATGAACCTGGGAGGCGGAGCTTGCAGTGAGCTGAGATCATGCCACTGCCTGGGTGACAGAGCAAGACTCTGTCTCAAAAAAAAAAAAAAAAAAAGACAAAAAAACCTTAATAATCCTCGTTCTACCTACCCTGCAGTGTCCAGGGAGGTCAGGAATGTGAAAATTACTTTGAAAAAATACAGGGGAAAATGGAGGAAAGTGTGACATATTAGCCACATGTGAAGCGACACTATTTGAAGGGTGAGAGACTAGCTGTTGAAGGATAAATAAGGAAGTAAGGGAGAGACCCCAGGGTGGGCCCTTTTGCTAGTTGCTGAATATCTATTGATTCCCGATTTCTCCTTTGCTTTCTCCTATGAACCCAGTTCCTCTTTGAGGATAATTCAGGAATCATACTGGGCAGCAACATGGATGAGAAAACTTGTTCTGTGCTGAGAAGCCAAAGTCCTGGTTTTCTTTGAGGTTTTGCTGCTAACTGGCTGTGAGACTTTGAGCAGAGCTACACTTGCTGCTTTAAAATTCTTACCTGCTAATTCCAACATCTGGGTCATCTCAGGGTTGGTCTTCATTGATTGCTTTTTTTTTTTTTTCTGCATGGGTAGTGTGTTTCTTTTTTTTTTTTTTTTAGACGGAGTCCCACTCTCTTGCCCAGGCTGGAGTGCAGTGGCGTAATCTCGGCTCACTGCAACCTCTGCCTCCCGGGTTCAAGAAATTCTCCTGCCTCAGCCTCCCAAGTAGCTGGGATTACAGGCGCCCACCACCACGCCCTTCTAATTTTTGTATTTTTAGTAGAGATGGGGTTTCACCATATTGGCCAGGCTGGTCTCGAACTCCTGACCTCGTGATCCATGCCTCGGCCTCCCAAAGTGCTGGGATTACAGGCATGAGCCACTGCGCCTGGCCAGTGTGTTTCTTTATATGCCTAGTAATCTTGGATTGTAGTCTGAGCATTATGAATGACATGTTGTGGAGACCAGATTCTGTTATGTTCCTCCAGATAATATTAATTTGTTGTTTGTTTGTTTTGGTGGCCTGGTTACTTGGCTAAACACAAATTCCAAACTCTGAAAATTTAATATTTTGAGCCTTAGCTAGGCTGCTTGGAATATGCCCTCCATAAGGATAAATCAGTGGTCAGACACTTGGGCAGGACTTTTACAAAGATTTTGGGGCTCCCTCTTTGTGGCTCTCCCTTTCTAAGGTTTCCCTTTCACTCTCTCCTGAGGGGCTTTAATGAAGCCCAGACCACCCCCCACTGGGGGGCTTGGGGATAATCCTGTTTGATGGGGAGAACAGGCTGGATGACCTCTGAGTTGATTCCAAGTCATTCTTTACCTGAGAGGCTTATATAACCCCTGAAACTGCCGGGAGCTGCCTTCTGTGCTGGGGCAGCAGCTTTACTTTGAGGCCAGCTTTCCTTCCATTATGGGTTTTTGACAGAGTTGAATGACCTTAGCTTACGACATTCCCAAATATCACAGATTTCCCCACCTGCATACCCAGGAGGTATGCTGGGTCCACCCTGGACTTGGCCTGTGGTTCTTCAAACGAGCAAGGTTGTGTGTTTTCTATCTGAATTTTAGTTGCCCAGAGTATTGTTGTGCTAAATCTCTCAGCACCATTCCCTTCTCTCAAATGTCCACTTGCCTCCAGTGTCCGCCTGCTTTTGTCCTCCCTCAAGTGCCTTCAGGTAGTTGTTTTGTATATTTTCCCCTAGATTTTATAGTTGCTATTTGCAGAAAGGTGGTCCAATAGGGGCTACTCAGCTATTACTGTATCCCCTTCCTCTAGCATTTGACTGTGGAATGAGGAGGTGGGACTTAGGAATGAGGAGGTGGGACTAAATGCTCTCGTTCACCCCACTAGTTTTGCCAGAGTTGGCTGCTCGAGGGCCTGGTCAAAGGCAGAGGCAGAAATAGTAGTGTTGCTCCTCCTGAAGCCCTGGCAGGCCCAGTGTGAGAGCCAAGTTTGCTCAGAGGCATGGCCCTTTTGGGTACTTGGAGGCTAGGGCTGCCATCCATCACCACTAAGGTGGTGGCTGCTTATTAAAATAGACTGTATTCCTAGAACATGAATTCTTTTGCTAAATTATTGAGTCACCCGCAGCTTTCCTGACGACCTAGAGCGTGCATGCTAACAGCTGCACCCTCCGTCTGCTTTGGGGTGGAATGGCATGTTTTAATTCAGCATCCTTCCCCTGAGAGCAGCCTGGAACCTGGCCTTGCTTCCCTCTCTTGCCTTTCCAACCTGCACAGGGACAAAGAAAGATGGGTGAGCCAGAAACAATGGGTGGCAACTCTCTCCTGAGGGGCTTTAATGAAGCCCAGACCACCCCGCACTGGGGGGCTTGGGGGTAATCCTGTTTGGTGGGGAGAACAGGCTGGATGACCCCTGAGTTGATTCTGAGTCATTCTTTACCTGAGAGGCTTGTACAACCCCTGAAACTGCCGGGAGCTGCCTTCTGTGCTGGGGACGTAGCTTTGCTTTGAGGCCAGCTTTCCTTCCATTATGGGTTTTTGACAAAGTTGAATGACCTTAACTTACGACATTCCCAAATATCACAGATTTCCCCAGAGTTCTGCACTGTCATTTGTTATGAAGTGGAGGCTTTAAGGTGTGGGAAGGTTGTCCCAGACTGTATTATAGGACTCTCTTCCCAAGCCGTCCTGGCCCTCCATGTAACACAGCCTATAGACGTCTCTGATGACCAGACCCTCTGCTGTGCTGCTGAGGAAGAGTCCACAGGGCAAGCTCCACTTAGGTGCTGGTTCTGACCCTGATTAGCTGTGCTGGTCACTAACGTCACTAATTTTAGTTTTCTTATTCATAAAACAAAGGGTGGGGAGTTGAGGGGAACATACAAAAAATAAGAATAAAAGCTCTAAAAGGGAAATAAATAAAATACAGGGGGATAGTAATGGTGCCTCCGCAGGGAACGGAATGAGATGTTGCTCATAGTCTCTCTGGCACGGGGCTAAGTCTTAACACTTGTGTCAGCATAAAGTCTGGAACCCACGAGTCTGACTCCCAGTGCTGCGGCTCCATGGGCCTCAGCTTCTTCCTTTGCAGGGCGAGGGGTCGGTTCAGGGCCTTCCCAGGGATGGCGTGCAAGGCTCCTCTCCTGGAGGTGTTATTTTGGCGTGGGGGAGATTAATCTACTTTCTGGGACTGAGCTGGACTCAGAGGGTCCTTTTGCTGACTCTGCCTCTGTTCTCCCAGTGGGGGGACCAATACTCAGGGGGCTGTGAGCAGTCTGGCTTGTTAGAGGGGTGGGAGGGGGCGGGCACAGAAACCCTCAGGGCCTGACTCCTATCCAGGTCACCGCATGGGCTCCTCAAGCCCAGAATCTGGGTGTTTTAAGGAACTAAGGAGAAGTTCATGGTTGCCCTCCACAATGTCACTCCAGAAAGTATCTTCTGCAGCCCTTCTATTTAGAAGTGACTGGGGAAAAGTCAGCAGGTTTAGTAAGTGCCGTGTTAGTAATACATTCTGCATCACAACAGCTCAAATCCCACTATCGATTTTTTTATTGTGTTCCTTCATATTTGAAGCCGCCATGCATTTTAAAGTAATTATTGAATGGCATCCTCAATATAGCTTAACACAAATATCATTCTAAACAGGAGTAATTGATTTTCAATACTTTCAAGTGGCTTTCTCCCTCGTGCCTTAGGATCAGTTATAAGACGGCGTATCGGAGAGGCCTCCGGACCATGTACCGGCGGAGGTCCCAGTGCTGCCCTGGCTACTATGAGAACGGAGACTTCTGCATACGTACGTAGGGGCTGCTGCTGTTCTGGCCTCAGTGGGAAAGGGAGGAGAGGGGAAAGGAGGGGAGGGGAGGTGGGGCTGATATCCATGGTCCCTAGGCAGTAGTCCTCAGCCACACGGCTCCAGAAGTCCCTGCCTGCTGCCAGTGCTCAGAAGGAATAATGAGTTTGGTGCAAATTCAGTAGCAAGGGTTGGGCCATCAGATGAACCTCCTTACAGGGTGGATGGAAGTCCGTCAGTTCAAGGCCTTGACGGGGGATAGGGGAGAAGTGGCTTTTCTGGAGTGGGCACTCTGAGGAGCAAGGCAGAAGAAGTGCTGGGTGCCTGGCACAGGGTTAAGGTGTACAGGTGCTCAAGGCAGCTTTGCTGGATGGAAGGAGAGATGGATGGGTATGTAGATGGACAGTTGGATGGGTAGAAATGGGAAAGAGAGGAAGGAAGGCTGGGTTGTTGGATGTCAAAACCACAGTAAGAAAAGGATGGGGGCAAAGGTGAGGTGGACCATGAGGGAGTGGTTCTGGGAGCTAGGAGGATTTCCAAAAAGGATTTGGGGGACATTGGAGAAGAGGTGGGTGCATGAAAGACAAACATTGCCTCTTTTCCTATTTGTCTAGAGCAGCTCAGAAAACGCAAGCCTTAGTGTCCCCTAAGAAAGGCAAGAGCTGAGTTGCTGGCAGCGGCAGGCCCTCTGGGAGAAGAGCAGTGTGGTGCAGTGGAGGCACCCCGGAGCAGGAGCCTGTAGATCTGGGCTTCCTAGCTATGAGGCTTGGGCAAGTCACTTAACCTCTCTGGGAGAATGATTGTAGGGGCCCTGTTGGGTTCAAAGGGACTCTTTCCCCACATACCTCTGACCCAGTGAACTGGGGCCAGTGGACTTTCCAGCGGGCCTTGGAAGGTTCCCTCTACTGCAAGAGCGTGTCAGAGGAGCCGGGAGGCCCTCATTTAATGACTGAGAAGAGATTCCACCCCCAAAGCTTCTGTCTCTTCATTTGGAGAGCGATTTTCCTTGTTAGTATTCTCTTTGCCATTCGAGTGGGTAGAGAGAGTTCGCACCAGAGGGAAAATTTGGGCAGAGTGGGTGTGTTGATGTTGGGAATAAAATGACAATTTTCCCCTACTGTTGTTAACATCTCCCCCAATGCTGGAGAAACTCAATTCTAATTGCATTACAAGAATGAATGAAAAATATACCCTCCAATGGGTTCAGTAGTAATGGTTTTGTAGGAAAGATACAAAGCAGTTCACCTAAAAGGCCGTTTTCTCAGGAGCAGGGCAGAGGACTGAGCTAGGACGAGGCCTTGGTCAGCACCTCATCTGGGATGGGGTAACCGAGACCCAGGTGTAGATGCGAGATCAGGACTAAGGCTTTCCTGCTGCTGCTCTGTCTGCATGGAGTAGTGTGAAACCAGGCCAGGGGCAGGACACGGGACTCACAAAGCTTCAGAGACAGATGTAAGCGGCTTGCCCAAGCTCAGGGCACAGTGATGGACTCAGGGAAATTATGAAGGGAGTTTGGATGTCAGCACAGAGCTCCAGGAATGGATGAGCACATTTCCTTTCTAATTTCCATTAGTGAACGGTGGCAAAGCTCTTGGAAAATGAAGAGCAGGGCAGAAGTGCTGAGTGTCCTGATTGCACAGGAGGCCCAGTCTTACTGACTGGCAAGGGCAGTTTATAGCTTCCGACCTACTCCTTATGTAACCACTGGGCACTGCCTTCTGGCCAGGTGACCCTAGGACGGTCCACCAGGAACTCAAGCTCAAAAAGCCACTTTTAGAATGGAAGACTTCTCCTAGGAGGGCACAGGAGAGTTCTGGCGGGGAGATGGGATGTGGGGCATCCTGGGTGCTGGTAGTGATGACACTGAATCACAGGGTTCTGGGTTTGGTCCTTGCCCTGCCACTGCCAGCTTCTTCCTCTTTATCTTCACCTTCCCAGCACCCGCCACATGCCAGGCACCATTCTGATCACTTTACATACACTGATCCATCTACTGCTCCCAGCAGCCCTGTGAGGTAGGTGTCCTTATTTCTCTCATTTGACAGGTGGGGAAACTGAGTCACAGAGCTTATGTAACTTGCCCAAGATCACACATCTGGAAAATGGCAGAACTTGGATTTGAATCCAGGCTGTCTGGCTCCAGAGTCTTTGCACTTGGATGGCTTGGGCAGGCTTGCTCGTCTCTTCATGAACCCGGGCAAGGCTTTACCTCTCTGAACCTCAGTTTTCATTCATGTAAAATGGCAGTAGTAACACCTGCACTCACCAGGCACAGAGTGGGGTTGAGTAAATGTCAGTTCCCTCCTCCATGGTATTGGTGCTCCACATTGTTTTAGTCTTGGCTTTTAGTTGCTCAAAGAGGCCCATGGACCCTGTCCCTGGGAAAACGCATAGTACCTATATAAACATACCAACACACGAAGTCCTTTGCACACAAGTTCATTGGGTTCATGGATCCCTTGAAACCCTTACAGGGTCCTTGTTGCATGGTAAATAATTTCTGCCACATGTTCACGTTACCCACGCAGCATGTATTTGTTACTTCTTGCTACCCAAGATGCAGGGGCATAGATAAAGATGATGGACTGTTGCTGCCCTCGAGGAGTTTGCAGTCTAGTCAAAGGAGGGGACTTAGAGTGTGCTACAGGGTATACTAGAAAGGTGTTTCAAGCCAGTATTTATTAAGCACCTACTATAGCCCACCCACAGCGCTGTGCTGCAAGATAGAAGAGAAGAGTTAGAAATATGAACAGCCCCTGCCCTTGTGGAATCTACCTTCATGATGGGAAGGCGGGACTAACACTCAGCAAAATCATTCCGTAACAGCCCAGAGACTGGATGTGCAAAAGGCTAGAAAGAGACAGTCGATCGCGGCAGGAGAGAATGCTGCCACCTGCTTCATGGGGCGTTGAGCTCCATCTTGAGGGATGCAATGACGCCGTCAAGGGGTGGGTGGGAGAGGGAACCCCATCAGCAAAGGCATGGAGGTGGGCAGTGAGGAGGCTGGCCAGACCCCAGAGGGCAGACCTGGGCTGCAGCAGGAGGGGCAGGTGGCTGGGTTGGGTGTGTCGATTGCCTAGGGTGGCTGTTACAAAATACCACAGGCTGGGCGGCTTCACCGACAGGGGTTTATTGTCTCACAGTTCTGGGGCTCAGAAGTCTGAGATCCAGGTGTTGGCAGGGCTGCTTCCTTCTGGGCTGAGCGAAGGGTCTGTTTCGGCCTCTCTCCCTGCTTCTGGTAGTTTCCTGGCTGCAACAGCAGGACTCTGATCGTCACATGGTGTTCTTCCCATGGCTTCACATTTCCTTGTTATGAGCACACATGTCATAGTGGATTACAGCTCACTCTAATGACCTCATTTTAACTTGATTACCTTTTAAGACCCTATCTCCAAATAAGGGCGTGTCTCAGGTGCTGCAGCTTGAGACTTTAACATAGGAAATCTGGAGAGGCAGGTGTCAGCTGTTACCAGCATCCTCCTGTTCCTGTTTAACGTGATGGGAGGAAAGGGAGGGGGCACCAACTGGCCACACATGGGCTTTGGGCTTTGTCACTTGCCCATGAGAGAATGGAGACCCCAGGGTGAGGGAGCTTGTGAGAGGGAGACATGGTAGTGAGAGGGTGAAGAATGATGCCAGGGCACTGGGGGACAAATGGGAAGCTTGTGAGCCTGGGATAATCAGGGGCTGGTGCCTGCAGCCCTGACCCCCAGCGTCTCCCTCCCCATCGCTCAGCGGCCAGAGAACCTCCAACTTCACCAGAACCTGGTGAGAACCATCGGATGCCGAGAGTTCTCTGGATCCTGCATGAGAACATCACCTGTGCCCTGGGCAGGGGCAGGAGGATGTCATCCTCCCTCCAGAGTCACCTTCTGGGAGCCTTGTTTCTTGCAGGCTGACAAGGAGCAGGCCCAGGTGTGAAAGCCTTGGCTGACTCAGCCACCAACTTGCTGTGCAATCTTGGGCCAGTCCTTTGCCTCTGTGGAGCAGCTGTGACATAGGATGGACCATCCCTGTGTGTGGAAGGAACAAGAGATGGAACAGGGACCCAGAGTGTCCTGCAAAGCACAGGGCTCAATACAGATGCAGGGGGGCACTGTTTTTCTCCTCGCTATACAATGTCCTCTGCCTTTGAACTGCCATTCTCATCTGGGAGCCCTCCTGAAACCATCCTTACCAGAGCTTCCCACCCGCCCCAGGCCAACTCATACCTCTTTCTGCTTCCATTATCTACAGCCACAGCTGAGTCCTGGCCCACTTCGGTCACCAGGTATGAAATATTTCCTAGAGATCACTGGGCAGAGTGCCTGCCTGCCTTCCTCCCTCCCTCCAAGCTTCCCTTTCTTCCTTCTTTCAGGACAGAGGCATTTTTGCCTCTGCAGATGGAGCTAGTTTTATGTCTTGGAGAAGCAGACTTTCACTTATGTGGTAGAGTTTGAGGCATTTTGGGAAGCTCTGTTCTTTGAAAATACTAGTGCTATATCAAACCAGATGATACAGGACTGAGTTATGAGCGTACTGAGTTTTGCTGCAGTAACAGACAACGTCCAAATCCCAGTGGCTTGAAACAATGAAGTTTAATTTCTTCTTCAAATTAGGTGTCCACCGTGGGCTAGCTAAGGCCTGCTCCTCGTCAGCCTCACCCTAGGACCCAGGCTGATGGAGCAGCAACTCTCTGGAATGTTGCTAGTTGCTGTGGCAGAGAGAAAAGGGCTCTAGCTAGTCTTGAAGGCAGAGGGTCAGAAACATTTAGTGAGCAGTATTAGTTCCTATCACAAGTCCCATACAGATGGCCATGGTGCTCACAAACCACAACTCATTCATATGTGTGTTTGGTATGCACTTAATAATGATATGAGACAGGTTCTGCGTGCTTGGCTCCAGCAGTTCTCAAACGTGAGCTGCCGAATCAGAATCACCTGGGGAACTTGTTATACCACAGATCGCTGGGCCCCAGTCCCAGAGTCTCTGATTTAGAAGATTTGAGGTGGGGGCCCAAGAAT